TGTATATATATATATATATATATATATATAGAGAAGAAACTGCAAAACCTGTAGTAACATCAGTGTTATTAACAGATTTTACTCCTGTGAGTTTACCAATTTCATTATTGGTACGGCCACTTAGACAAAGATTTATATATCATTTCACAGGTTCTAAATTAACAAATCGGCAAGATAAACCTGAATGGTTTTTTACTCAAATATTAACTTGGATTAAAGATCATGTACAATGGATACAAAAAAATGTACAACCTGCTGCAAATTCAATAGGTCTTAATCATTTAGATATGAAGGTAACATATTAGATTTAATATATTAATATTTTTATTTTATAATAATATAATAAAATTTTATAAAAGAGCAAGAATCTGATTGTTTCAATTAAGTTTTATATTTTATATAAAGTCATTCTGAATATTTCATTAATATAATAATGATAGGATGAAAATATATATTGTTTGTATTTAACATATTATTATTTGTAATAAACATATTAAAATACATTAATACAATTTTATATAAATTATTTTATTGTAATAGGTAGAATTTATGCGAGCTTTGATACAATTAGCAGTTGAAAAGCTTCATTCCGAATTATCGATAGTACAATATGATGATGCTTTATTTGCTCATTTAGTTGATGAAGCTTTAGGTTTTGAACGAGAATTGAGAGAAACATTATTTTATCCTTCAACTCAACCAGCTACTGTTTTTGTACTTACACAAGCTCATATTTTTGTAAAGTGGATTAATATGGAAAAAAAATGTAATATATTTTTTATTAATTCTTTATTTAATTTATAATTTAATATTTTATATTAAAAATTTAATATTTTATATTAAATTATATAAATGTATTAAGTATTGTATAATTAAATTATATTATAATTAAATATTTATATAGAATATTAAATTAATTTTAATAAAAGATTTTCAATCATTAACATATTAAATTATCAGATGCAACTGAAAAAATGGATGCCATTTTAAGTTCAAATACAGCTTGGGAAAAATTATCGAGTTCTGATATTGATGATATGAAAG